CTCCTCAGTCCAGATATGGTCACTTCCTGTTCACTGGTTGCAAAATACCAAGATGGCGATGACCAAAATGCCGAACTGTAGGCTTCAAAACATCCACAAAGCACCGCGGGACGTCCCGATGACTACGTCCTCTTCTTAAACAGAGTCTAATAGCTTCCTAGAGAAACATGCTGTGGTAGCAGTAGTCATCGTTGGATTTGTTTTATGCTGATTTCAACATAAATATCTAAATATTTGGATTATACTGTACTTGTGAGGTCGTCCCTCTGTTCAGTTCAAAACAAACGTGAGCCTTCCAACTTAAACTTCACCAGCCGCTCGCACTGATAAATCCAGACGTGTAGATTTATATGATGAATATTTGATAACTCCCAGCATGCAGCGGCGTTCTGCAGAACGCAGCCTGAACTCTGCCTCAACAGGGTGAATTCATCTTTACGTCTTTTAGTCTTCAGCGGCCCAAGTCTTATTCTTCCTGTTGGCAGTATTTGTAGCCGTTGTAGTTATCAGTGCAAATATTAGAAGCACTTATAAAAGTAAAACTTGAAGTAGAGACAGTAGTGACCCTTAGTAATATAGCTAGAATACAGGCAGTACTGAAATGTATTTCTTGTGTGCATATGAAGTATAAAAGGATCTTTACTATGAATCTGTCACATGACCACAAAGGTGTTTTTTACCGTCGGAGTCAGTGAACGCTAACAGAGAGGATTGTGGTCTGAGAGACTGCCTGCTGCTTTATCTGCTAATGCTCTGCAGCTATCAGCGAGAAGACATGTGTCACACGCACACACACACACACACACACACTCTGAATTGGACACAGACGATAGTGGAGTTCCTACTGATATTCTCGTCCATTCAGAACTGCAGTGTTTCTGCAACCGGTGTATTTTCCCTTTGACCTTTGACGCTCATCTCTTGAGTTTTCTTTCAGCCTTTATAGAAAGTAACTAAGTTTAAGCAGGTATTGTGTAAATGTATATTTAGAACACTGTTAGAATATAATCTGTTATGTTGTGAGAGTAAAATATTGAATCCAAGATGATATTTTTAGTTGTTGTGGCTTCATAACTTCATATGAAAATGTCTTAAAATGTCATTTTGTACACGTTTCTCTGTAACTCATCCGTCTCACATGTGCTGTTTTCTGGAGTTTTGGACAAAACTATCAATCTGAAGACATCCCGTCAGGTTCTAGTTTCTGATATTCTACGGACTGAAACATTAATTGTCATATTCAACAACTCGCAGCCTGAAGTATTTTACCTGCTGCTCTATTGTTCAGCTTGTTTCTCACCTGCGGAGCGATCGATCCTCTCGAGTGTTAAACTCCCTCTGTAGGAACGCCCACGACGGCGTAGCTATGGAAGCCTTATCAGCCAGAACACAGACACATGACGTCAGATGATTGCGCAGAGAAACAAAATGACATACTGTGTGCATGTAAAGCAACAATATGGCTGCACAGACACACACACACACACACACACACACACACACTACAACCATATGGTTGCGTTCCCATACCATCCAAACTAATACACTGAGGATGTCACAAGAACCGCCACTTTGGTACCAAGTCGGTTGGGATATTGTGGGCCGATACAGATGTTGTTATTAATCCTCCTCTTGTGTTTTAAAACCATTCAGCAGTTCATTACAGCGTGTTTATATGAGCTCAGATTAAAAAGATAGTTGGCTAAATATCGCAGCTAATGTTAACGCTAACGGAGGTAGCATTTTAGTTTCTTACCCCGGTGTTGAATTATATACTGCTGTGCAATATCAACATTTCATATTTCTTATTTCATATGTGCAATAATGTGCAAACTTTAAGTCCTATTATTCATCTTAATATGTTTTTTGATAGTTTTACGGTTTAATTATTCATTATATCTTAAATGTTAGATTACTTATTTATTCTCTTTGCTACAGTAATGCTGCAGATTTCTCCGCCGTGATGCTAATAAGTTATGTTGTGGAGAATCGTGGACTCAGTATCATGACATCCTTAGAACGCACACACTTCAATGGACATCTTTAAAGTAGATGAACAAGGACACACACACATTCACAACACACGGGTTGAAATGGACACCAGCAGTATGTACATCTTACAGTGATATTAAGTTGACGAGGCTCAACTACAGCAACATGATTTCTGTCCCACAGTTGCATTCATGTATTTAGTTTCCTGCCAATTCCTGTCAATGAACTGATTGGCTACAGGTGACTAATCGTTAATCATTTAATCATTCATCAAATATCTGGATTCATCTTTTGTCTGCAAGATATTGTTGAAATGTGTGTGTGTGTGTGAGTGTGTGTGTGTGTGTGCGTGTGTGTGTGTGTGTGTGTGCGTGTGTGTGTGTAGTTGTCAGGTCAGCTGAGCTGTCTCTGAGTCTTGTATTTCCTGACTCTTGGTTTCTTACGATTGATGCACTCCGTTCACCTCGGGCGTTATCTTTTTATTTGTCTTTGTGTTTCAAACACACACACACACACACACACACACACGCACACACACACACACAAACACACACACACACACACACACACACGCACACACACACTACTGGAGCAGCAGTCTTTTCCCTAAGGCCGGGTACTGGTTTAGACTGAACCATTGTTACCGCTTCTCTCTCTCTCTTTCTCTCTCTCTCTCTCTCCCCCCCCCCCCCCCCCCTTCAGGGTTACTTGAGGACAGTGTCAGTTGGTTTCACTGCAGAAGGTTCTGCTTACTGCAGCACTGAACACCAACACAGTATAATGTATTACTCCTCCGATAGGACACACATGCACACACACACAGACAAATGTGTAGGTATTATTATAGGACACTGGTTTGGTCTTTACTAGCTGTGCCGTTAATAGTTTTCATGCTGCGACAAAATGCTCACACACACACACACACACTTTTAATTACTCCATTAAAACCTGTTTCACTTCAAAATGACTTGGATGTTAAAGTGAATAAAATGTTTTTCTCAAAGTCAAGAAAAGGATCCTTAATTTCAAATCCCACCGAAGGACTTGTCCAATGTCGGTGAAACATTCACATTCTACGGAGGACTGAGTCCTTCATTCAGAGCATTTTGAAGGATGCGTGTACGTCTCCTCCTTGTAAACACCCACAATCCTTTGCGAATGATTCATCTCTTGTTCACCGATTGGGAAACAGAGGAAACATGCGAGTAAACATTTAGTTACGTCCCCTCAGCAGTCCACCAAAATCCACTTCTGAACAAATTGAGGAGATAAATTCTCAATTCAGTTGCTGATTCTTCATTCGTCTCAGATCTACGAGGCCTAATCTAAACGTTATTCTCCGACCTTCGTCGCACAGCGACAGACTTGTTCAGCGAGCTATTAATAGCTCTGAGGCAGAGCGAGCCAGCGGGGTAGAGCTGGCATATCTTCACAACTCTGAATTAAACCAGCGTGGGTGATTGTTTGAGAGCATATTTTTATTTTTATGTGCGTTCATAAATTACAATAATTGTAAATATCTCCGACGCGTTTCTCTCCAAATGCTAAGAAAGCGTCTTTCCTCTGTAGGACATTACTTGGAAGCACCCGCCGACCTTCCTTGACTCCTTGAAGCGCCAAAAGTTTCCAGATGTTAATATTTGGCTCTGAAAGTCTCGCCTGCCTGCATAACTCCCAGAATTCCCTTTTGATTCTGGCTTTCTTCTTCCAACTGTTTTTCATGTTGTGTTCTATTTAGCAGCACTCCACTGCACCTCACTGCTGCAATAAAACGTATTTATTTCATATTTATCCATCATCGTGAATAAATATGTGCCTATATTTGGGTATATTTGCACTGGTTAAAATCAAAAGGCGAAGAAATAACGTCCATGGAGAGCAAAAAAAAAGCCTAAAAATTGCTTTTTTTTATTACATTATTCATATTATTAAAAATATATAATATCTAGATTATGTAAGAAAACCAGTGAGGAAAATGTATAGAAATTATGTAATTTTAACTTAATGAGTAAAATAAGTTTGATGAATATGACACATAAGGACACAACAGTGTCCTAAAGTTAGCAGCAGATGTGTTGCGTTGATTTGAATGGGCTGTGATGTCATCCATTTGACCATCATTCATTGGCTCACCAAAGAGGAAGTGAGCCATTGAACCAGTTGTTGTGTACTCGTTGTTGTTCTGGTGCAAATGTTTACACTTTTATGCCGAAGTGCAGATGACCTGAGGCCCCTGAAGAGCCAGTACTATCCATTTTCTCTGATCTCTCAGATGCAGTTTATTTTTATGTGAATAAATGAATGCGTGGGAACTGATTTATAATTCATGTGTGTTTGAGATAACCCTGCTAATGATTTCCCTCATTAGAGTGAAGTGAAAGCATCTTTTTCTCTGCAGCTTGCTGGCAGAAGGTGGCGAAAACAGCCGGCACTGTACATGGACACCGGCTGTAACACAGTGTGTGTGTGTGTGTGTGTGTGTGTGTGTGTGTGTGCGTGCGTGTTCACTGTGTGTGAATAATATTTATAGAAGTCTGATAGGACGATGCAGGCTGTCCCACCAGCAGACGAGAGGGTCACATATAGTTCACTGGATTTTATACATTTTCCAGAAATCTGCAGAAAACCTGGAAATATGAGGTTATTTTACAAATAAATGGATGAATTAACAATATTAAATATAATGTATGTTATTTATTGGTTAATTTCTTCTCTTCTGCAGATCAATGTGCGCGTCACCACCATGGACGCTGAGCTGGAGTTTGCCATCCAGCCCAACACGACGGGCAAGCAGCTCTTTGACCAGGTGAGAGACACATACACACACGTTCCTGTTTTCATTCCTTTCAAGGACCGTGATCCTTGAGCAGTTTTGTGGGGACAAACACTTCTACAGAAAATACATCTATCACTAAAATGTTTTTGACAGTGAAAGTGACTCTATGACCTGCTGGAACAATCACATTGTTTGTTATCCATTAAGTGAAAAGCAATACTGAAAGTGATCGTGTGTGTGTGTGTGTGTGTGTGTGTGTGTGTGTGTGTGTGCCAGTGGGTGCTTGGCTGGGTTTGGGTGTGGTACTGGTTCTGCACAGAGATGGCACACAACGTGCTCTTTGTCTAAACTGGGAGCTTTTAGGCAGACAGTGGATGTAAGTGTTGGGTGGATGGTGTGTGGGTCTGTGCGTGAATGTGTGTCTGGGAAGCAAAAGGGCAGCTTTCAGCATTGTTTCATGTCAGGCTCTGAAGGTTTGCGGTGACGTAGCGGGACGAAGACAGAATGAAAGAGAGTCGTGTCGTCGCTGCTCTTTTGTCCTAGTTTTGCTTTATAGTACGAGATCAAACCTCAGAATAGCTTTTATGGAACAATACGTCTGTCTTATCCGATTTAATCATGTTGCTTTGTGAGAGAAACCCATCCATTACTTCCAGAGTCCGTACATTATACTGCTCATCTCGTACCTTTTGTGTATTTTTCTTCCTGCTGTGGATAACGGACCAATCAGGGCTCAATAATAGCTTTTTTCCAGATAACAGCTTTGGAACATTCTGTCCATACTTTCAAAATTGGAAGAGTCTCCAAGATGGGGGGGGGGGGGCAATGTTGGTCAGCCAGTCCACCATTTTGGTTCAGAGTAGTCCAAATAGGACTGCACAGTTCATTGAATATTAAACCTGATCACGATCTTTTGGGCTTCCCACGCTGAAGTGAGCATTACAGACTGCGATGTTCATGTTTTAAATGCGTGCTCCGCTCATAGAAACTTTCCGAAACTAAAACTGCCAGCCTTTAAATCATGGCATTTTGAAGGAACCATTATTTTTCTGTGAATTGCTTTGAAAAAAACTTTGTTTACGTGTTCTATTAGTTTGAGTTTTGGACGTTTTAGCTGACAGAAGGTGTAGAGTGAGCTGACAGGTGTAGAAGTGATGACCTCAGTGGTGGATGAAGTTTCACATGTTCATCATAAACTAAAGATAGATGGAGATGAAATAGATACCTCCTCTTTGAAAAAGACAGAATGATGAGCAGCATGAGAAGATAAATAATGTGACGTATCAACAGGGAGAACAACAAGTTTTATAGTTATAGTATAGTTATAGTATAGTTATAGTATAGGTATAGTATAGTTATAGTATAGAGTTGACGAGAACAGACTGAACTCTCTCTCTCTGTCTCTCTGTCTCTCTCTCTGTCGGTCTCTCTAAAGACTCTTTAAGAACAGGGACCATCATGCTGTATTGAAGAAGACTTGAAACTAGAGATTGAGACCATAAACTCATGTTTACAATGTTTACTGAGGTAATAAATCAAGAGAGAAGTAGAGTCATTTTCTCATAGACTTCTATACAACCAGAGGAGTCGCCCCCTGGTGGACACTAGAGAGAATGCAGTTTTAACACTTGAAGCTTTGGCTTCACTTTTTTTCCTTAATGTGATCTTCTGATATAAAGAACATGATTTTACAGGCCAAAGATTTCCAGAAGAATTAAATGTTAAGACGAAGGCTGTGATATGTGTCAATAATAAAATATATTCAAGCTTTTTGGGGGATTATCTATAGTTTAGTAACTTTCCTGGGGGGAAAACCCCAAACCCAGAATCTTTTATTCACTGTAGACATTCGGGATTTAATGATGCTTTCTGAAACCGGCCGATATATCTTAATATTCCTACCTCTCTCGTCTTGACGCGCCCAAATCTGTCATCCACATTCTGCAGGCTTCACTTCTACATCTGCATGCTGAGCTCACAGCATCCGCATAGCTGCCTCTGCATACTGCAGTGTGTGTGTGTGTGTGTGTGTGTGTGTGTAGGTTGTTTGGATGTGTGTTTCAGTCTTTAGTTTATGCGTATGAAGTGTTTGGTACTCGTGGATGTTTCATGTGTTTATGTGAGCTTTTCTTTCTGTGTCTGAGTGAGAGAGTTAATTATATAGTTAGTTAGTTGTATTGATTGTAAATCACATCAGAGTCTGAGTCCACATCCCCCAGGAACTCTGTCTCTCTCTCTCTCTCTCTGTCTCTCTCTCTCTCTCTCTCTCTCTCTCTCTCCCTCCCTCCCCCTTTCTGACGGGGAACTGTTATCTATGCTCTCTTCAAACACACAAGACTCCATTATTGACCAAACCGATCATTTTACCTCACAGCACACAGGAGTTGCCTCCATCGGTCGGTTTGTGTTATTTTGTGACTTTGGTGTTTTTGAGTGTTGGTTCAGATCCACCACACAGCAGCTCTGGTGTTGTGCTTGTGTTCCAGGTGGTGAAGACGGTGGGTCTGAGGGAGGTCTGGTTCTTTGGGCTGCAGTACACGGACAGTAAAGGTTACGTCACGTGGCTCAAGCTCAACAAGAAGGTGAGAGACACCAAAACACAAACATGTGACCACTTCTGCTCGATTTCTTTACTACTGTTTATTTCCCAACACTTGAAAACATGATATTAAAGTCATGAAAGCCTGTAAACAGCAAACCTCCCGTGGTTAAGAAAGTCTCAGAAGTAAAGTTTAGAAGTTTAGAAGCTTTAATCCAAAGTGCATGAAAGCAGCATCAGTGGAAACACCATCTTGTTTGATGCACATGTTGACCGTGGAGACGTGTGGAGGCTGAACGATGTGTCTTCTCTCCAGGTCACCCAGCAGGATGTGAAGAAGGAGAATCCTCTGCAGTTCAAGTTCAGAGCAAAGTTCTTCCCAGAGGACGTTTCTGAGGAGCTCATCCAGGAGATCACTCAGAAACTCTTCTTCCTGCAGGTGAAGGTCCAACATGAGGTGGAACATTGAGCTGTGGGTTACAGCTGTTTGTGTTCTTGTGGAGGGAGCATTTCTGGGAATACTTCACCCGCAAAATGATCATTTATTTATCAATTTAACTCAGCCTGTTATCTTGAAGAAGACTGTGTCTTCTTGTGTCTTATACGTTCATTAACAGCAAAAGTTTATCAAAACATCCGTTTACAATCTATCACACTAGTTTAATCCGAGTCTCATTCATCCACAAACACAAGCATCTTCACTTAGAACGTAATATTTAAAACTTTTCTGCAGAAACAGACTCGTCTGTGAGTCGTATGTCAGGTTTCAGTGAAGATGAATGTGTTTGTGAAGTCGTGAGCGTACGACTACGTTTTCTATGAGAATTCACAGTCAACACGTGGTGAGTTATTGATATGCAGATGATCATTTTAGGGCGTGTGTGTGTCCGTGTCCGTCCTCCCTGCAGGTGAAGGAGGCCATACTGAACGATGAGAACTACTGTCCCCCAGAGACCGCCGTGCTGGTGGCCTCCTACGCCGTCCAGGCCAAGTACGGAGACTACAACAAAGACCTCCACAAGCCGGGCTACATGGCCTCAGACCGGCTGCTGCCACAACGGTACAGAACGCTCACACACACACACACACACACACACACACTCACACTCACATTTGGACAGGACGCTGTTAATGGACAACCAGCTCTACCACCCGTCTAATATTATAAAAGTGTGATGCATGATAGATGACTGTGATCCCGTCGTTATCAGCATGCTATTACTTTTTTTTATGTTATGTCACCTTTTCTTTGTGTTACAATACATTTTGTTGTGCTTGTGTGTGTGTGTGTGCGTGTGTGTGTGTGTTTCCTCTGTAGAGTTCTAGAGCAACACAAGCTGACAAAGGAGCAATGGGAGGACAGAATCCAGACCTGGCACGAGGAGCACAGAAGCATGCTCAGGTTAGACCTGCACCCTTTTAGGAGACAACCCAAGGCTCCTCTGTGTGCGTGTTAAAACATTGTGTGTGTGTGTGTGTGTGTGTGTGTGTGTGTGTGTGTGTGTGCAGGGAGGATGCGATGATGGAGTATCTGAAGATAGCTCAGGACCTGGAGATGTACGGCGTCAACTACTTTGAAATCAAAAACAAGAAAGGCACGGAGCTGTGGCTCGGGGTCGACGCCCTGGGACTCAACATCTACGAGCACGAAGACAAGTAACCATCACACACACACACACTCACACACACACACACACTATCATAAATAATACATTTTAAGGCATCGTGAGACCAAAACACTTAGTTGATGTGATCAGAAAATAAAGAGGAGGAACACTCACATCGTCTATTTTAAGAAGCTATTATCTGAATATGAAGCATTATCTCTCAGCTTCCTTTGATGAAGTTGAATTGCATTGGTTTGACATCAGCGCCCTCTGGTGGTGTGAAACAGAACTGCTGATGAACAACATGAACACACAAAACAAAATAGACACATCATTTAAAACTCTCGTGCATGTGTTTATAAAGTGTCAGTGAAAGATTCCTCTCCCTCTTTATATGAATTCAAATAATCTCTTCTCTCAGGTTGTCGCCAAAGATCGGCTTCCCCTGGAGTGAGATCAGAAACATCTCCTTCAACGACAAGAAGTTTGTCATCAAGCCCATCGACAAGAAAGCTCCAGTAAGTGTTTGACCCACGAGCGGCTGATGCTTTCTGATGAACCGATACGTGTTAACGGCGTCACGTCTCCTGCAGGACTTCGTGTTCTACGCCCCTCGGTTGCGGATCAACAAGCGCATCCTGGCGTTGTGTATGGGGAACCACGAGCTGTACATGAGGAGGAGGAAGCCCGACACCATCGAGGTGCAGCAGATGAAGGCTCAGGCCCGAGAGGAGAAGCACCACAAACAGATGGAGAGGTGCACCACGATGCTATCCACTTATCACCTAACAATGACACAAACATGCTCTTCTGTAAATGCACTGACACGAAAACATACACACTTACATATTTATTTATCATTTTTGTTTGATACATAAAGGCATTATTATATTTAAATGAAATGCAACGAATGCATATAAGACTTCTCTTGCACATGACAAAGCATTGACTTCACCCGTACCGAAGACAAACGCGTATCTATGAATTATCACTTTCATCATGTGAAGATATTTATTGTCAGTGAAGCCAATAAACTACCTCAAATTATGTCACAAAAAACTCATATTTTCCGACATAACGGCACAAAACAAACTCGGTTACTGTGAGAAATCAGACATGTCTCCACCAGACTCACTACAAACATCCTGTGATTATACAACCAAACAATGAAAAGCAGTCACCTGCTAGCTGAGCGTCTGGGTGTGATGGTGTGATCGTGTGATATTGTGATCGTGTGATATTGTGATTATGTTTCGTCAGAGCGCAGCTGGAGAACGAGAAGAAGAAGCGCGAGCACGCGGAGAAAGAGAAGGAGCGGATAGAGCGGGAGAAGGACGAGCTGATGGAGAAGCTGAGGCACATCGAGATGCAGACGCACAGAGCTCAGAGAGGTGCAGCGAGCTCAGTGTGTGAATGAATGAACGCTGCGCAGTCAGAGAAACCATGGCTTTAACTGTCGTTACACTAGTCGGCCACTAGAGGGCCGCTCACGTGCTGAAGTGTTCCTATGAAGCACACGATGAAGCTGATTATGTGTTTAGATGTCTATGATGAATATTGACGTGCGTGTGTGTGTGTGTGTGTGTGTGTGTGTGTGTGTGTGTGTGTGTGTGCGTGTGTGCGCGCGTGTGTGTGCATGTGTGTGTGTGCAGAGCTGGAGGAGCAGACCCGCAGGGCACTGGAGCTGGAGCAGGAGAGGAAGCGGGCCAAGGAGGAGGCGGAGCGTCTGGAGAGGGAGAAGCAGGTGGCGGAGGAGGCCAAGGCAGCGCTGGCTCAGCAGGCTGCCGACCAGATGAAGAACCAGGAGCAACTGGTAGCTGCACCACACACAGCGCCCCGCTGACTCCTCGCTCTCTGCTGTTCACTCTCTGAACCCTGAAGCAGTTTCGGGGGGGTTTTATGCTCGCGTCACATGTTTCTCTCTGTGGTCTTGGTTCTCACAGTAACATAAAGTCCTGCTCCTCTATAGAAACAGAACCATCGTGACTAGAAGAAGAGAGAACTAGAACATGTCTTTAGTGCAGAACAACAGTCATGATGACGTCAATCATTGAAAAGTGGAATTTTCTTTGATAATTTATTTTAAAACAAACTAGAATCTAAATATCCAACATTTTTCCAAGTGTTTCCAATGTCGGAAAAATAATGGAGGCTCCAAATGTTTTATATATATTGAACTATTTACATGTTTACAACCTCTACTTCAGCCTCTCTCCTCTCCTCTCTCCTC